GTCTGTGTTTTTAGCTCTCACCGTAAACTGTTTTATCAGCCTAACCCTATTATTTTACGAATGGGGGGAGGAAAGCCCAGAGAACTTTAGACATTTGTCCAAGGTTACACAAGCAGGAATTTGAATCTGTGCTTTAAATGATGCTGTAGGTACTGTTCAGTTACTACTGTGTGAGCTTGGGCACGTGACTTCCTCTTTGGGGGCCTGCGTTTCTTCATCTGTGAAATGGGGAGAATTCCCCTACTTCATAGGGTTGTTGTCAGGACTAAATAAAATAACATGTGTAAAGTATCTAGCATTATGTCTCATGCCTAATAAACCTTCAATAAGTGACAGCTATCATCAAGCAAAGCTCTGATCACACGACTTTTCTGCTTGAAAACATTTGATGAATTAAACTTTGGGGCACATTACATGAGAAAAATAAAAATTCCTGAAACCTAAAAAAAAAAGTGATGACTCCCTTGGATTATGGTCCAAGGGTCCTTGGCATGGCATTTGAGGTAACTGCAACCTACCTCAAGATGAGTTAAACCCTGAAATTCTTTGATTCTTGATGTATTTGAAGATCTGTCATCTTCAAAAAGGGATAGTTGGAGGGAAGCACAATTAAGATGCATGGAAGAACTCTGTGGTCACTGGACTTAGCTAACAATAGAATGGATGTCTCAAAGAATGAATGAGATCCTGGCTAGGAGAGATGTCCAGACAAAGATCTGTCAGCCAGCCACCAAGATGGTGAAGAAGGATTCTTGCATTAAGAGGAAAGTGACCTCCCTTCATGCTTTAAGATTCTTTTTAAATGAGATGGGGAAAGGCTCGTGACATCAAGCAAAATGAAACAAATGAACAAAGGCTACCCAACTGTGTGTATAGTATGAGCTCAACTACAAGGAACAAAATATAATGAAGGAAATGCACCAAAATATTTGTTCTGGGGGCAAAATAGTCTGGATTTTCCAACATATATTCCTTTTTTTTTTTTTTTTCCAACATATATTCCTTTTATTAATGATAAAACAATTATATATTAAAAATAGAAAGGAGTTTTGTCCTCCTCACTGAGCTTAGGTCCTTCTACGTCTCTAAGACCTCTGTCCCCACTTCCCCCCACCCCTCCGAGTTTCAGCTTTATTGGACTCTTCCCATCTCCCTGGAAAGTCACACACCTATACGTTTTGCTGACACCAACCCCCAGCCTTGAGTCCTTGGCCTTTGTCTCTATTGAAATTCTCTCCACCTTCAAGGTCTTGATCAATCTCTCTGATCCCCACACTCTCTCCAGGTATTGTAGCTATTTATACATATGTTTGTCCCCCTCACTAGAGAGTAAACTCCTTCAGGGCAGGGTTCTATATGGTTTTGCCTTGGTATCCTTACAGTGCCATGAATAGACTGTCGGCAAATGCCAAATCATCTGGCTGATGTCTTTTTGGCCATTAAACAACACTCAGGGCTGAGGGTCAGACAGCATAACTAAGGGTATATTCTGGACCAGTATTATCGCAGAGACATTTAAATATATATATATTTAACTTGTTTTTAAACTTTTAATTTTGAAATCATTTTAGATTTCCAGAGAGTTGCAAAGGTAGTACACAGAGTTCCCATAGACCCTTCAGCCAGCTCCCCGCTACGTTAACATCTTACATAATCATGGTCCATTTATCCAAACTAAAACATTAACACTGGTACAACACTATTAACCAAATGGCCAGCTTTAACTGGATTCCCCATTTTTCCACTGGGGTCCTTTCTGTGTTCCAGGATCCTATTTCCTTAGCCAGTGACATTTCTTTTAGTGGGGAGGCTTGGCGGGGGGTGGGGGGGTGGAGTGGCCGGCAGGTCGCTTTCTATTGTTCCTTCCAATCAACCTTTTCCAAATAATCAAAATATGACACGAAAGGTGGCGATGGCATGGGGATGGTGAGGTAGAAGCACTCACCCTCTGCTGGGCTGTTGGGACTTTGAACAGGGAAATGAACCGTTCTTCCCACATGGGGCTGGGAGGACGATTTTCATCTTAGATCTAGTCTTTTTCTTAAACGGACACATATGGGCCTAAAAACAGCAGGGAGTTACTTTTTTTTTTTTTGGCCGCTCTGCGCAGCTTGTGCGGGATCTTGGTTCTCTGACCAGGGATGGAATCTGGGCCTCCCACAGTGGAAGCCCCGAGTCCTAACCACTGGACTGTCAAGGAATTCCTGACTCGTTACTTTTAATTCATTAAATTTCTGGGCCATTCCATAGCCCATTTTCCCATGGCCTGGCACAAAACACGTTCCTAGTTACTTATAAAAACTTCCAAGCAGTTGGCATTTATCAGCAGTCTTAGTAATTCAGTGAGAACTGAGGTTACAGCTGTCACAGGAAGTTGAAACGAAGGCTGCTGAAATCACACCCATTCCGAGGCAGGGTGAAAGTTATACACTGAGTAGAATTCAAGCCCGGAAGGTGGAGGTGGCTGAGGCGTCAGGTGGAGAAGGGTGGGATGCTGTGGAAGAGAAAATACACGAGGGAAAGAAAAGCAGATGATGCGGCTCTGGAACTCAGAGCTGGTTTACAGACCTTCTGGGATTACTGCTAAGCCCTACATCCATCAGTAAGCACTAGCGCTGCGGAGCTCTCACCGACCGCTCCCCCTTCCCCACCACTTTACTGGATCACCACAGACCACCTACTAAATGGTCTTCAGTCCGTCCCCTTCCTCGAATCCATTCCCAGCATAGGTATTTACCAACTCAAATCACTGGAGAGTGCGGGCCCCATCTAAGCGAGAGCATTGCTTTTCTGGGGCTGCCTTAACAAAGTGCCAAAAACTGGGTGGCTTAAACAACAGAAATTTATCATCTCACGGTTCTGGGGGCCAGAAGTCCAAAATCAAGATGACAGCAGGTTCCTCCTGAGGGCTGGGAGGGAGAATGCGCTGTGCTCTCCTCTAGCTTCTAGTAGTCCCAGCTGTTCCTTGACTTATAGATGGCATTCTCCCCACGTCCTCACATTGTCTCCCTCTACGTGCATCTGTCTGTGTCCAAATTTCCCCTTTATATAAGGACACCAGTTATACTGGATTAAGGCCTGTCCTGGTGACCTCATCTTCACTTGATCATCTATCTGCACAGACCCAATTTACAAATAAGGTCACTTTCAAGGTTACAGGTAGGACTTCAACATCTTCGGGGGGGCACAGTTCAATCCGTAACAGAAGGTTCCCACCTAGCTTTGGCTGATGGCTATCATAGAACAATGTGTGGCTAGAGAAGCTGGAATTTAGGATTTCTTGTGAAACCACCTGATTTTTAAATATCGGCATCTAATTAAATATAAGTAAACTGTTTCTAATACCATGACTGCCAAAAGTAAGTCAACCTCTACTCCATGGGGTTCTCTCTAAAAGTCTGATCCCATCCTTCCCTTTTATGGGATTAAGGCCAAGTTCCTTAGCCTGGCACACGCAGCCCTCCACAATCCAATTCTTTTCTGTCTCTCCAGGATCCTTTCCCACCACTGTTCCTGCAGTGCCCCTCCCCACTGTACCATCATATCAAAAGACCTGTCCTTTTCCAAACATGCCGTGCTGTTCTACACCTCCGTGACTTTGCACTCTCCCTCTGCCTGATACCCTCTCTCCTCCAGTTGATCAGGAAACTCCTGGCCATCTTTCAAGTACTTTCTCATTGCCACCCCCAGGGAAGACCCCCTGAAGTCTTCCCTGTCCATCCCCCATGTAGTTAACCTCTTCCTTCTCTAAGCCTCCACTGCACCCTACATTTCCCTAGTACAGCACTCAACATTTTATTTGCTATTATTTGATGACACGTCTGCCTCCTGTCTGGACCACAAGCTCTTTGAGGATAGGGACTGTTATCTGGATCACCTAGCACAGATCCCAGCACACGGCAGGTACTCAATAAATGTTGAGTAAATGAATACTCTGCACAACACCCAATTAGGTATCGTGAGGGACCCAAAGAAGCATCATGTGGAGTCCCTGTCCTTAAGGTCCTTACAGTTCAGCTGGGTTCACAAGATACACACCAAAGAAAAGGCAAACCATACCGGTGGTATATGACAACAGGCAGAAGGAGAGGCTCCTGGGGCCTCTGGTGGTCATCCTCATGTGGGACAGAAAAGATCCTGTTTTAGTGGCCTGATGGAGTACTGCTTTGTAGAAAGAAAGGTCAAGATAAAACCTGGCTAACTTTCCGGAAAGAGTGAATTGCTGCACTGCATGCTCGCAGAGATAAAGTTGACTGTGGTGGCTCATGACAAGAAGAGAGAGTGGGGCAAGGAGAAGAAAGCAGGAGAAAGCCCAGGGAAACAAAGCTGGAGAAAGAGGAGGGGTAGAAGTATGAAGAGGAGGACCTAGGACCCATACTTGTCTCACATCCCTCTCCTGCATCCGTCTTCCCTGCATCAGCGTATTTCCAGGCTGCTACTCATTCTGCCTTAAACCTACCGATAATTCCTTCCAGAGTCCCCCATTTCCCTGCTCAGCCTTTATAACGACATGCTCCAAAAGGGCCGTCTTCGTTGCTGTCTCCGACTCCTCTCTGCCTTTTCTCTTTAAACCCTCCTCATGCAGGTGCGTGCTCCACCTCTGTCTACAGACACTGCTTGCCGAGATCACCAATGACATCTACATTACCACACCCAATGGCCGACTCCACGTCTTGTCATCCTTGCCACTGTTGATCTTGAGTCACTTTATTCCCTGGCTTACAGGGTACTACACTCTTTTAGTTTTCCTCTTACCTCCCTGGCTGTTCCCTGTTAGTCTCCTTTGCTAATTCTCTTCATTTCTTTCACCTCTAAGTATGGTAGGACTGAGTACTTGGACCTCTTCTCTATACACAATCACATCCCTAGCAATCTCAGCCAGTCCTATGGTTTTATTTTCATTTATTTATTTTTTTAATTGTTTATTTATTTACTTATCTGGCTGTGGCGGGTCTTAGTTGCAGCACATGGGATAATAAGTTGCGGCATGTGGGATCTAGTTCCCCGACCAGGGATTGAACCTGGGCCCCCTGCATTGGCAATGCAGAGTCTTAGCCGCTGGACCACCAGGGAAGTCCCAGTCCTATGGTTTTAAATACCATCTATGCTGCTGATTTCCAAATTTGTATTATCTAGCCTAGGCTTACACCCTGGGCTCTAGACATTTATCCAACTCCTACTCTGTATCTTCACTTGGTTGTCTCTTAGGTGTTTCAAACCAAGTGTGTCCAGAACTGAACTCCTGATCTTCCCCCACCCTCCAACCTGTTCCTCCCATTGTCCTGTATATTCCCTCCCTCTTATCACAAATAGGCAAATTATACACGTATTTATTTCTGTCTCTCCTTCACCACCAACTTGAATGTGAGATCCGTGAGAATCGGGGCTGTGTCCGTTTTCGTTATTACTATAGAACAGTGCCTGACACATAGTAGGCTCTCTGTACACATTTTGTTCATGAACAAATTGAGGCATTAGGGGCTTAAAGCATAGTGGTTAAGAGTGTGGGCTCTGGGGCCATAGTCTGGGTTCAAATCCTGGTTCTGCCCTTTACCTTATGCAAGTGGAACCCCCAGAGTTTCAGAGTCTCTAGAATGAATACCAGGAAACAGCCTGAGAAGAGTTTGCTGCTTTTGATCCTAATTGGACATTCATTTACCAGATAGTCACTAAGGAACTCTGAGATGGCAGCCCTGCGCTAGGCCCTGGGAGTACAGTAATGAGGAAGGCAAGTCCCTGGTCCCAAGAGCTCACAGTAAATGGCAATCAGCTGAGTACTGAGAGGGTACAGGGAGCAGCGGCTAACCTAGGCAGGGGAGGGACAGCAGGGAAGGCCTGCTAGGGATAGGGGCAGCTGAGCTAGGGAGACCTGAAGGAAGTCTGCAGGCTGAGAGGAAGGGAACGTGGTGCCAGGAAGAGGAAAGAGCACAAATAAGTGCCCAGAAGAGAGAGTGAGCCTAGCACAGTTGTGAACTGCAAGTGGCCTGCCCTGGCTGGAGCCCTCCGGCTTCTACTGGTGAGACTGCACCCAAGACTGCGGAGTGGGTGGAGGCTGGAGCGCCAGGGCCCGTGAAAGCCCTTCAGGGTAGGGCGAAGACTTTAAGGATGATGACTAGAATCACAGGATCGCAGGCTCTTGAGCTGAGGGATTTGATGGGTCACACAGTCACTCCTGAACCCCTTCCCTGCCTTTTTTTTTTTTTTTTAGGTAGACAAGTCACCATTTATTTTTCTGAGATGGTTTGCAAACACAGTCTGTTCAGAAAACAAAGGACAGGTGTGCTACAGTTAAAAACCAATCTGAACTTTGCAGGTGGATTTTAAAAGGTGAGCATTTAGTGTATAAACTGCTTACTATATTCTACTGAATCTAAGATGCACTTTAAAAATTACCATCTTTGGAATGGGATGTCTTTTAATCGGTTGATATCAGAGTTTAACTGGTACCAGTTTTTCTTTCTTGGTATTACATGAAATAATGGTGCATTCTACAGTTGACAACATCTTAAATTTGATGATGTATTCTACTAGATTGATAGAATGGCTGATAGCAGGATTTTGTTAAATAGCTATGTCTTCTACTGAATATTTTTTTACAAAAATTTTTTTTTTAATTCTGTTAAAGTACACATAGGGACTTCCCTGGTGGTCCAGTGGTTAAGACCCCACGCTCCCAATGCAGGGAGCATGGGTTCGATCCCTGGCCTGGGAACTAAGATCCCTCAAGCCACGCGGCACAGCCAAAACTAAATAAATAAATAAATACACGTACGTTGTCGTGCAGCCATCGCCACCATCCATTCCCATAACTCTCGTAGATCTGAAACTCTATCCCTAGTAAACAATAACTCCCCCTCTCCTCTCCCTCCAACCCCTGGCAACCATCTTTCTACTTTCTGTCTCTATGATTTTGACTACTCAGTACCTCATATAAGCAAAATCATACAGTATTTGTTTTTTGGTGGCTGGATGATTTCACTTAGCATAATGCCCTCAAAGTTCATCCATGTTGTAGCACATGTTGGAGTTTACGTCCTTTTTAAGGCTAATATTCTATCACAACATTTTGTTTATCCATTAGTCCTTAGATGGACATTTGGGTTGTTTCCTCCTTTTGGCTATTGTGAATAATGATGTTATGAACACTGGTGTACAAATATCTCTGCATTCTTTTTCCTTATAAAATAGCATTAGATCTCTCTCTTTTTTTTAAATTTAGTTTATTTACTTATTTTTGGCTGCATTGGGTCATTGCTGCTACGCGCTGGCTTTCTCTAGTTGTCGGGAGTGAGGGTTACTCTTCCTTGACGTGCTCTGGCTTCTCACTGCGGTGGCTTCTCTCGTTGCGGAGCACCGGCTCTAGGCGTGCAGGCTTCAGTAGTTGTGGCTCGCAGGCTCTAGAGCGCAGGCTCAGTGGTTGTCGCGCACGGGCTTCGTTGCTCCGCAGCATGTGGGATCTTCCCGGACCAGGGCTCGAAGCCGTGTCCCCTGCATTGGGAGGCGGATTCTTAACCACTGTGCCACCAGGGAAGCCCTATCCCTGCATTTTTAAAAACTAAAACAAACCCCAAAAAGTACAAAGAAGAAAATAACACATATTTTCCATCACCTGGAATAAACCATTGTTTACATTTTGACATTTGTTTCCAGCGTCTTCTTTATGAATATGCAGTTTAAAATTCCTTAATATAGGGCTTCCCTGGTGGCGCAGTGGTTGAGAGTCTGCCTGCCAGTGCAGGGGACACGGGTTCGAGCCCTGGTCTGGGAGGATCCCACGTGCCGCGGAGCAACTGGGCCCGTGAGCCACAATTACTGAGCTTGCGCGTCTGGAGCCTGTGCTCCACAACAAGAGAGGCCGCGATAGTGAGAGGCCCGCGCACCGCGATGAGGAGTGGCCCCCACTTGCCACAACTAGAGGAGGCCCTCGCACAGAAACGAGGACCCAACACAGCCATAAATAAATAAATACATAAAAATTAAAATTCCTTAATATAAGAATGCACTGTCATTTTTTTAAAGAAAAAAATTAGAATTTACAAAGAAAGCTGAGGTTCCTGTTCACCTCCACTCACTATCCCAACTCTCTGCCCCTCTCCCTAGAGAAAGTCACTTTTCAGTCCTTTCATTAAAAAAAAAAAATTTCTCTTATTACATATGTTTGAAGATACAGAAAACCCACAGTTCTGTTTGATATGTTGCAAAAACCGTATTATGTTGTATGCATTATTCTACAACTGTTTTTACTTAATAGATTTTGAACTCTATGCATGTCTCTGCATATATAGATCTAATCTATTCCTTCTAACAGCAATATAGTGACTCATTATGAATACGGGCCTTATTTTATTTATACTTTCCCTATTCATGGCCAGTGAGCTGTTTTCAAGGGTTTGTTATTAGATATGGTCGTGCAATGGACAGCCTTCTTGAATACATGTGCAAGTATTTCTCCAGGGTAGAAACCAAGAAGGAGAATTGTCAGGGCACAGGGTATGAATATTTTCGGTTTTACTAGATAAGGACAAATCGAGAGAATCCATTTCCCCACAACCCCACCAATCCTTGACGTTGTCTTATATTATTCCTTCCCTACATTTTTTTAAATGAGACGAATGAGGCCTGGGGCTGTACTGCTTTCTCACAGTCACGGAACAGGCTAAGTTCAGGGTCCAGGCTAGACCCCTCCTCAGCTGGTACCCGAGGCACAATTTTGCACCACGCCGTATTGCCCCTGTTAGCTCTCCCTGGAAAATCCAGGAAAGACCCCAGTGTAAGGCGGGTGGGCGGGGACGGCATGGCTAAAATTCTCCAGCATGGTGATTATACTGTGAGTAGAAATGATTGCAAATCCTCCCAGAAAATGGCTTCGCCCTGCAGATCTTTTCCCCCACCCGAGGCAGTTTCTACCTGCAGTTTTCAGAGCTGCACACAAGGATGGTGATTGGCTCTTCCTCGGCCGACACAGGGTGGGACCAGAAATGGCGTCTCCAGCAGCCTGTTTTTTCAGGGCAGCAGCTCCTCCGGGAGGAGGGGGCGGCCAAGCCTCGCCGGGCTTGTGGAGCCCACAGTGGCCGCCCTGAATCCGGGCAGAGGCTCGCCAAGCCGGACCGCAGCATCCAGCACCAAGCCCTGGCGACACCTCCCTGCCACTTGCAGCACCTCGGAGAAGGTGGGCTGCCTCTGGCGGGGCCTGCAGCCGGCGGCCGAGGGGCTGGAAGGGGGCGAGAGCCGCAGAGAACGGCACAGAGGAGATTTCACCGGGACCTCCCAGCCGCGCCCACCGAAGCACGGGCAGCGGCCGTCTGCCGTTCGCTTTGAGGGAGCAATGGAAGGCTGGGCCGGCACTTCTCTCTCCCCAGCCTCCGATCAGGGTGTCAGCTCCGCGAAAGGGACCTCCAGGGAGGGCGACGACTAAACTCTGCTTGGGCTCCTCCGAGAGGCATCCGGTGAAGCTGGGTGAGGTCCCGGACCCCAGCCCCTCTTAAGAGCCAGTCCTGGCGTGGGGTGTTTCTCCCCAGGAGCTGGTGGCCAGATTTCCTTTTTCCTCCCCAAGGCAGGAAAGATCAGTGGGATAATTTGAGGGAAAGAACAAAGCTGGCACCGCCCAGGCCACTTAAAGAGCCTGGAAGGCTCCCTTCCCCTCACAGTCGGAATTACTTGGAGGGCTGGAATTTTTTGTTAATTTTCCTTAACAAAAGTTTCTTCTTAGCTACCACCTTTTGAGCCCTTGCTATGTGCCAAGCACTGTACTAGGTGTATTATCTCATTTCCTCCTCATGAAAACTCTAAGACATTACAGGTTCAGAGAGGATGAGTAATTTCCCAGGGTCACACACACAGTGGCAAAACTGGGATTAGGAATTTCTCCCAGATCCTGTTTTTTAATTTATTTTATTTAAAAAAGTATTAAAAAGTAACTATTTGCTTACTTTTGGTAATCCTTTTGAAAAAATAACACTGCAAACATCACCATACTATTTTTACTCAGTGGGAGGAGTGAACAGGACACTGTATTGCTGGTGAGAGTGTAAATAGGTAACACTTTTCTGGAAAGCAGTTTGGCCATTTGAATC